TGTGCCCAGAAATGATGCTATGAGAGTAGTCAGAGCAAACTAGAACACTAATGTTGTGGGCTGGATGGCTAAACGTGAGCAGAAACTCAATGTAAAGCTCTATAAAGCTGATGGGAGCTGCAAATGTAGATGGTCATTTCTGTAGGTTTGAGCCGCTCGTCTCACATTGTCATCCGATACATTGTTATTATATACATGTTCATGATCTGCTGCTTTAAGTTCATTTGGAAAGCTTTAGGATGCTTGCAATGCTTATCCCAATTTAGATTGTTTACAATGAATCTCTGCAACACAAGTGGCGAGTGTGGAGTAAATGTAATCAATCATCAAGCAACTACAGTTGAAGAATATCTGCATTTCTCTTTATGTCAAAGTGTGGCATGGTTTTCCAGTGCGGCCATGTGGCACTCACTGAAAGTGCAGAATCACCAAGGTTCAGAGGTGAGGGGTTTTTGTTTGTTTTTGTTTTTTGTTTTTGAGGAGCCCAGTAAATATGATGTATTTCATTTCATCATTTTTAAAATCTTTCAGGTACCAACTAAAAAATGGTTTTCCTTTTCTGACACCAGTTAGGTTTATCATCTGTCTCCTGTTCAAACCATACAATCTAAATAGTTGCTTTGTGTAGTTTGATCCTAAATTGTAGTATAGGATAAGCAATTTGAGAGAGATAGGCCTCCCTTTCTCATATTCTATATCACTTTTTCTCATGTCTCTTTCTTTCTGTCTTCATAAAGTGTCCCAGATTTTTTTCCCCTCTCAGTCAAGCGTGGAAAGTTGCTCAAGATCTGAGGCGTTTTGCTCCTCCTAAGGCAGCCACTTGACACCGCATATATTCCTATCAACTCAAGTGGAGCAGGTGGACGGGGGTGTGTGTGTGTGTGTGTGTGTGTGTAGCATCTGTGAGGAGGTTGTCAAGTGCAGCTCATCAGTGAATGCACGTTTTAGCTCATCTGCCACTTATCATGATCCTCACCTTTCCACTCGGCGCTACCTCCATTGCTTCCTCTGCTGCTCTTATCTCATCCTTGTTTAATCAGCTCCTCTGTTTTCTCTTGTCGTCCTTATTTTATTGATTTTACAGCCAAATATTCCTCATTTTTAACAAGCCAGTATTCCTTAAATATCCTCTGTCTTTGTTTCCACTTCACTTTCTCATTTGTTTCTCTGCCTGGTTCATCTTTTTACTACATCCTTGTTTTTCTGTTTGCTGTGGGTATTGGACAGTAGATCTGATTCCTGATGGTCAAGTTTAAAGACACTGAATCAGTTCTGTAATTCTTAGCCAGCCTCCACTCTTCCAGACTGTGCTCATTTAAGCCTCCAGCCCTGCTTGAGCTACATTTAAATTTCCCCCGACAGAATCCACCCATTTAAATTTGTCGATAATACTGGCAGTTGTATAAGTGCAAAGATTAAATTGGACTGAAAGTAAATTATAAAATTCACTTTAGTACTGTGCTCTTCAATGGCAGGTATGTCAGCGGAGAAGAGGGAACACAGGGGATGTTTCTGCACTCTTGTTTGCGCTGCAGACATTTTTCATTCCTGTGCCCTGGCTTTTCTCTCCTCCTCTCAGTGTATCTGTCCACCACACTCATTTGCTTTTCCCCTCTCACTCCCACTCTATCTCTTGTTCCCCGAGGAGCCCAGCTGGGAGAGGCAGATAAACACACGAGGGGCATAGGGCTTAGCACCCACCCTCTTCCTTCCACAATGCCATGCTCTTCTGTTCCAAGGCCCCAGCCAGAAATGAGAGGGGCTAAACCCAAGCTGGAAATCACAGGGAGAGGAGGCAGCTGTAGGAATGAGAGTTTATAGACACACACACAGATGTTTATCTGAGGATCCCTGTGATAATTAGGAGGAAGGATTTATTCTAGTCACTTCTCTTCTAGCATTTGTTCAGAGAAGCACATTCTACAATCTGCATGCACAGTATTTATGAGATCTGCAGGCTGCATATAGTTTATCTGCATATATGAGTGTGCCTAGGTGTATGAGCACATGTCTGTGTGTTTGTTTGTGGCATGCCTCACCTCAGAATCATCCAAAGCTAAAGAACACTTCACTGGTAGGTAGGTAGGTAGGCAGGTACTTTATTAATCCCACTGTGGGGAAATTTCTGTGTTACAGCAGCAATAGAGAACAACCAACATAACACCATAAGAACAGCCACATAAGAGAGAAATTTCATAGAAACACGGGAAAGAACACAACGAGGACACAGCTGTTGTAACTTGCTGCCACTCCACGCGGCGCATGCGTACGTAAGTACGTAGTAACAAAGAACACTTAATCTTAAAATAAAAAGTTACATAAAGGCAACAAAGCATTTAGGACCGATACACACAAGGATTATAAAAGTAGCGTCATCAGAAGGTTACATTTTACACAGCACAAATAAGCAAATCAAAGGCACCTAAAAACAGGGCAAAGCAGCACTGGAGGAATTCTCTGCAGGGGTTCCTGCTGTGCACCTTGAAAGCCAGGTAAGCAGCATTTAGCCTCCATCTGAGGCCTGAAGCTGCAGAAAACAAGTGGAGATTGAGCCCTTCGTGGCTCAGGTTAGCCTCACAAAGCATGATCTAGTATTGTGTAATACTGTTCAGCAGTAGCTAACAGACAAGCACTATAGAATTTAGTTTGGATAATAGACATCGATCCCTTCATATTTGTTGTGTGCATCAGCTGTGATGATGCAGTGATGTAACAATCAAAGTGTGAGTTGATGTTCTCGGACAACTCACTTCTGTTCACTCTGCTATTCTGTAGTCATCTCAATCTAAACTGTGAGCACACAGTGCCTGAGAGGCTCCGTCCTACTTGGTTTGAATCTCCCTTCAATCACTGCACTTCAGTCGATCCTACATGGAGAACTGATGTGTGGCGTGCATTCAGCCACATGGTGGCATAAACCACTTGATAATAAGTTTCAGATAGTACACCAAGGTCTTATGAGATGAGTTCAGTGGCTAACATGTCTTGAGCTATTCCTAACATATTAAAATACATCATATCAGTGCTTTTTCCTCTGTGGCAAGGATGAATTTATTTCTTTGTCATCATTAAAGCTAGGCCTAATGTAATTTTTACAGATGGCACCATATAACAAAGAATGAATGAGCAACAGGGACAGAGCCAAGGGAATCAGATTGGTCAAGTCACAGTAGGAACATGCATTTGCTTTGGCAGCTCGCACCAAATGGTAAGATTTCCTTTCTACAATCATGCCACTGAGAAGGCCTTGACAAACCCACATTTCTATCTATCTATCTATCTATCTATCTATCTATCTATCTATCTATCTATCTATCTAATCTATCTAATCTATCTAATCTATCTATCTATCTATCTTTTAATGGTTTTCTCACAGGCAGAACAGCAGCATGGTGGTTAGAGCTGTTGCCTCACAGCAACAAAAGTTCTGAGTTCAAGCCCAGGCCAACCTGATGCCTTTCTGTGTGGAGGCTGTATGTCCTCCCTGTGCCCGTGAGAGGTTTCCTGTGTGGTTGTCAGCCCTGTGATAGACTGATGACCTATCCAGGGTGTACCTCACCCAATGTCAGCTGGGATTGGCTCCTGCCATCCTGTATTAGGAATAAGCGGTATAAATAACAGATGTTTTTCTCACTTTATGGTTACACATGCCAACTGTGTATTACCTGTGGCATTTACTTACATCACAAGCTTTATTGAGCTTTAGTGTGATAAACAACTAGGTGTCATCCACAGTGCAATAGCTGTAGCTTACTGACTGAGATACGCTGTCTGCTGGTGTGACAGTGTTCCTATGGTGACATGTTAGTTGTGCCGTTCTGTGTATCAAGTCTGTTGAATTCAGCGTTACTTAACATATCAGGTACACCGCGAGCTACTACATGGAAATTTTGCTTCCTCACATTTGTGGCACCTGTTTAGCTTGCACATGCATGAGACAAGCAAACATGCACTTAATCAGTGTGCACTTCACGAACATGTTCATGCAGATTTCCTGAGTGAATTTGGATAGTCCAACTAAACGGTCTGATAGCACCCTCCAAACTGAAGTGATATGTCTTCCCCAGCTGCTGGCAAGCTACATGTCCAGCTGCCGGTAATATGGGAGAGAGGAGGCTCATCCTAACAAGGCGTCAGGCCTGATTATGGTGATCATGGCTGTGAGAACTCTTGAGGCTATCTGAGCTTTATATAGAAAACTGAGCTGAGAGAGAGTAAGCATATTAAGGGCTGAGTGTGTGTGTGTGTGTCTTAAAAAGGCTGATATACATATGTGTGTGTGTGTGTATAATTATGTGTTTGTTGCATGTTTATGTTTGTTGATTGTAACTAGAAGCCTGTTTATCAGTGTGATCCTGACAATGAGAAGAAAGGAATAGAGGAAACACGTTTGGAAACATGAGACGTCATTTCCTCCGATCCTTCATCTGAAGTGTTCAGTCACCAGCTGATTTTTGATAAAGGGGCATGTCAGTCCACAAAAGACTTCAGCTGCCTCCTCGCTCCTTAGAGCAGGAATAAGAGTCTCAGGATGTCCGTGATCGGAACGGCTTCTGGGTCGAGAAAGGATCAAAGAATGAGCAACAGTCTTATAAGAGACTTGGGATGTACCTGTGGTTACAACTGAGGAAAGTGAGATTTACCCTCTGTCTGTCCTAATTCAGTGCTGATGTGGTGTCAGATTGTGTTCATGGCAGAGAAATTGCTGAAATGTCCATTAATTAAGCAAAATGTTTAAATGGTGGGACTGCTGATATTCAATGTTTGCTACCAGGACTTGGTACTAGAAATGTATTCCAGTCACAGTTTCCTCTCATTATGTTATATTTTTGTATTATTATGTGTAAAGTGAGATGTATGGTTGTGTGTCTTGTGTGCACATGCAAATACAATGATTGTCCTGTGGCACGATAACTGTGCATTGGATCATCTGTTGACTCACTTCAAATACACTGTAGAACTGCAGGCAACTGATTTTTGTCTTTTCTCTCTTTCTGCAGCTCTTTGCCATTTTTGCATTTGCAACATGTGGGGGCTACTCTGGGCAGCTGCGGGTTAGTGTTGACTGCATGGAGAAGGCCGGCAGCAACCTCAGCATCGGCATCGACTTTGCTTATCCTTTCAGGTGAGTGGGCTTCTTCTCAGCGTATCTCCATGGTCATTGTTTTTCTCTCAGTCTCTCTGCACACATGTCACTGTTGTCAGTTCATGGTCTTAAACTTGGACAGCATGTACAGTATGTACCTGTGTTTACTCTGACACTAATCCAGTGCATGACAGTGGCACTCACATTGCTACTTCTGAGTGCTCTCACTGTTTACTGTCAGTCTTTGGTGTCTCTTCTTGTCCACATGGCCAACTATGTAGAGATTTTCTACACACATACACATCGATGTAATCTGAATAGAATAGGCACAGGTAGTTTTTACTGCTGATTACAGCAGTTGCATTTATTTTTGTTTTATTGGGGGGAACAGCAGAATTCTTACTGACAAATATTTCAAAACCTTCACCGCAGCTAGATGCCATTTAACGTGTCGGATTTGGATCAGCTGAACTTAACATCTGGGTTGAGAGGCATTCAGTTTCCTACATTTAAGCTGATAGCACTGCAGTAGAAGTGATTTCTATTCCCCTGTTATCTGTAAAGAATAAAAACTTTAGTGATAAAGTCATCTGCATCATCTATGATGTATGTCCACGCTGGTGGAGTGGCTGAACTGAGATTATGGTGCAGCCTCATTGTGATGTGGTAGAAGACGAGCTCCTGAAAAATAAGACGGCACTTTCTGACATTAGGTGTTAAAATATGATTGTTATCATTGGGGAATACTTTGAGTTTCCTGAACTTCATAACAAATTTTTTACTTTCCAGTCAGTCAAATATTGAAGACAAGGATGATTCTGATGAGCATAAGTACCATCAGTTGCCAGGACCTACTGGAGTAAGTCCTATAGACCCCATTTTGAGTAGTGAGTGGAATTTGACCCCTGAAGCTTTCTTTGTGTGTGTCAGGTTGCAGCAGGTGTCTTTTGAAGCCCCTCTGTGTGAGGCCATGAGGAGGGAGCGTGTGTTCCTCATTGGAGACTACTCATCCTCTGCAGAGTTCTTCGTCACCATTGCTGTCTTTGCCTTTCTGTATTCCCTTGTGGCCACCATCGTCTACATCCTCTTTCACAACAAGTATCGCGAAAACAACCGAGGACCGCTGACTGTGAGTACAGTGACCTCTGACATTTCTGACTGGGACATTTCGCAGCAATACATTATATTATATTATTCCTCTGTTTGACATCTTATACCGATGCATCATGGCGACTGTAATGACAGGTATGCAACACTATCAGCTGCACTACCAGCAAGTCTGTGCTGTTTCTCTTCCCTCACATGTGCCATCAGGACTTTGTAGTGACCATGGTGTTCTCCTTCATGTGGCTGATCAGTTCCTCTGCTTGGGCGAAGGCTCTGTCTGATGTGAAAGTGGTCACTGATCCAGATGAAGTGCAGCTCCTCATCTCTGCCTGCAAAGTCCAGACCAACAAGTGTGGCTCCGTGCATGGGGCTCGCTGGTCTGGTCTCAACACCTCAGTGGTAGGTTTCACAGGATGTGTGTCCCAGACAGTGGAAATGAATAAATAAACTAGAAAATATGTCATTGAAATAAATGTACTTGTGCTTACTGCTGAAATATTGCATTTAAAACAAGCACTATAAGGAGTTGAAGTGTCAGATAATGAAGCTGAATGAGTATGAAAAGGTTGAAGACTTCACTTGGATGAGAAGTAAATGACAAAAGGTCTGAATATTTAAGAAACTATGATTGTGTCAATGTCGAGGTGGTTTGAAGTAGGTAATGGATAAAATAGCATCCAGAAGAATTAAAATAAGATGTAAAAATACAAGAATATGAATGCTCAAGTTTAATATCACTTTGTCTCGGTCTCTTCAGGTTTTTGGGTTTCTCAACTTTGTCCTATGGGCTGGAAACATCTGGTTTGTTTTTAAGGAGACTGGTTGGCACAAGGGTGCATCAAGGATTGCAGGTAGGGCATCTGAGAAACAGGCTGGCACCTTTAACCAGCAGCCCTACAACCAGGGTAGCTTTGACCAGTCGGGGAGCTACAACACGCAGGGGAACCTTGGCCAGCTGTCTGAGTACAGCCAGGTGGGAGGGCCCACCTCCTACTCCAATCAAATGTAGCCATGCCTTTTTGTTTTGTGAGTGGCACTCCTACATTTTAAACCATAGGAATCGGTGGGTGCCAGGAGAGGACGAAAACAGAGTTAGTGTTCATTCTCTACTCAGTCTGTCTCTGCAGAAAACAAAAAGGTGGTCATGAAAAAGGTGTCAAAGTGCACCCGTTGTACATCATGAAAAAGGTGTCAAAGTGCACCCGTCGTACATACAAGTATTGTACAAAACAATTAGATGTAGTCATTTACTTCTTCTCCTTCAGTGGTGTTGTTTGCTGAATGTTGTATTTCTTGTAGTTTGAAACACATCAATGATACTGCAGTTTCTTTTTCTGTGCTTGGTAATTGATGTTCACTGTTTTACTGTAACTGGAGGTCTTTTTCAAACTGGTGTGCACTGTGTGGTTGAAGGAACACCTGCTCTGTTTGTATAGTTTAAGTGCATGGTGTTGTATTTGTACTAATATGTTCTGTATAAAACTATTGGAGAGAAACATGCTTTTTATATCTGAAAGTTTACAAAATTCACACTGCCCTGAAAATTGAATTTGAGCAGTAATATTGCTTTTTTATTTATTACTTTTTAACCTAACAAGATGTATATTTTGATAAAAGGTATTCCTAATTTAAATACAGATTCAGAATATACTTTACAGAAGTATCTGTTACATTTGTTACATATACATTCTAACTCATGTCTGCCAGTGGCTTTGATAATGTCAGAGTCTAAAAAAGGGAGAAAAAGCAATAACTGCATATTGCAACAGTACATTATACATAGGCACCATATATGCAACGATTCCAGCAGGTTGCTTCTCTTTCCATGGTTTTCATTTCTTTGTTGCATCTGCACCTACACTATCACATTGTCATTTTATGTGAATATTCTAAAGTGGGAGATTGTCTCCCTCACTGTTTACAGGTAGCTATGTCTGCTACAAATTACTGTGACTACTTTCTATGCTATTCTCAGACTACTGAAAAAATTATAACACATACTGTAAGTTATACCTCTTTAAAGCATGTCCAGAGTATCCATTTACACTCCTAAAGCCCAGCAAAAAACACAACAGTACTACAGTGATAATACACTCACTAGCCACTTTATCAGGTACGCGTGTACAATTCTATGCACTTTAGTGCAACACTTCCATCTGAACATCTGTGTTTATGAAGCTGAAGATATTTCGGGTTTTGGTGAAACTGTATAAACATATATAAATTCTATTATATATTTATTGCTCAGGTCACACAGTCAAAGCTGGTGTTGTACTGGACTATATTATATTCAGAGATGTCTCAATATTTTTGTCCTCCCCAGTTACATACATGAGAGGGTCAGAATATTAGGAACACCTCTCAATATAATGTAGTCCAGTATAACACCACCTTTAACTGGGACCTCAGTAATAAATACATAATGGAATTTATACATTTATGACAATTTCACCAAAAACCAAAACATTTTGAGCTCCATAAATACAGATGTTAAGACGGAAGTGTTGCACTGAAGTGCATGCAATTGCACAGAGGTGCCTACAGTAATAAAGTGGCCGGTGAGTGTAGATGAACAGTGACTAGTGGGCTCATCTGTATATAAATGATACTGAGCTTTTGTTTACATTTCAGGTTTGTACAACCGTTGAGAAGCTGTGCAATTCATGTAAAGAAATAATCAAAGGATAATGCTCCATTGCTGTTTGTTTACATTAATATGACTTGTGCAACCGTGTTTCTTGAGCTCCTAAGCATGTGGCCTGCATCGGTATAATAAAGCAGTTTGAAAACCCATGTATGTGTAATATTCTGATGTTCATTATCAGTGTCTATGTCCATATAGGGAGTGTGGATGATATTTTACAGGAAGCTGTGTTAATAAAGATGCACAAATTCTTCCTTAAATTATGCTCCTCATGTATCAGCTGAGATCTCTTGGTCTGATTCGTGTTTTTCTGGTGACCTCTGACCTGTTTGCTTGGGATCCACAGCAACAGTAATGCCGCTCCGTGGGAATCTTTCAGGCACAATGTGAAGCACACAGTAACAGGGTGCTCTATCTGTTCATTATCCAAAAGAGCATTTTTCAAACAATATAGTATGAAACCAACCTAATGAGGGTCCAGCTAATGTGTGTCATAATAAAAACTGCTTGTTTCAGTTTGATCAGACTAGCTTGCCACTTTAACATGTCAAATGTAATGCCTTTAGATCTTACTGTGAAATAAAACTTGCAAATCTATCAAATAATGACAAATGATAGCAGTGTCACACCCTGTCAAACTTTTAAACAGTGGAGGCTTCACTGCATTTCACTGTATATTAAACATAATCTACAAAAATATAGAAGCCCAAAGAGCTACAGTGTTCCCCATATGCAGAATTAATTTGTAGTTTATAAACAGCACAAACACCTAAACACCTGGTTATTTGTATTAGTAATAGTGCTATACCATGCAAAATACAGAAAAAACTGAAAATACAATAGTTGTAATAATGAGGCCATCTTGTGGCTGCAGTGCATCCGTACCACAGTCTGTAGTGGCTGCTTCCTAAAGGGTAAGACAGCAGCTACACACAGTGTATGGCAGGGGGGTCAAACTCATTTTCACCAAGGGCAACATTAGCATAATGGTTGCCCTCAAAGGGCCAGATTAACAGTATAAATGTAATTTAAAATAAACTACTCCTTATCATATTGTTAAATAACTGTTTCTGTATTTATTACTTAATCAAGTTACAAATATTACATATGCATTTGCATAGATGTAAAAATAAATGTTCAGTTTAAGAAACCCACATTTGCCCACTTGTCAGCTCACATTTCACTCCCCCTTTACACCGAAGGGTAACCAACTTATGATAGTAACTTTATTCAAAACTTTTTTTGTCACAGTGAAGGGGGGCAGAACTATGGCACAACCAACTGTGACAGAAGTAGCATTTTCAATGAGGTGATGCTGCCTGTCCTTGAACACACCAAGTAGATCCCTCCTCACCCATAGACACCATCTGACACACATCCTCATCCATAGATCATGTTATGAAAATAAAACACAAAACAAAATGCAAGCACAATCATTAAATTGCACACATTCTACTGTTCTTAGTCCTGATTGAAATACATTCCATTTTAATTCAGGTTTTTAAAAATGCTTACCTGTGTGTTTTCTGGCCAGATGTCTGACACAGTTTTCCCCTGGCCAGTGTGTCAATGTTTTAGGTCTTGTGATGAGGCAAGCCGCAAAACAGCGTGGAGGTTATCATCAGTAATGAGTCATCTGTGCTTGGTCTCGTTCAGATTCATTACTGAAAAGATCTGTTCCCACAGATAGGTGCTCCTAAATGTGACCGGGCCAATATACAGGCCTAGGCAACTCAGACCGTAGTAACTTTTAGTAGTTCCCCCAAAAATAACACCCCTCCTGTTTTCAGAGGTCAAATTCATGCAAACTTCCCCAGTACTGAGCTGCTACCCCCAGATAGATCTGCAAACACGGAGACGTTGGAGTTACTCAGATAAAACTTTGAGTCAAAGTATAATTTAACAGTGGAAAATGTTTCAAGAAGCTTAACACCAGAGGCTAAAATACTACCTACAAGAAGAAGTTTCCCCCCCACTCAATAAATACAGTGCAGAACAGGAATAAAATGGTCGGAGTCAACAGGTTAAAAGGCACCATTAAATAAAACACCACAAATCAATTAATCACACATCAACCAACCCTGTGCATAAAACCATTCACACACTGTTCACACCATAAAATTGACTAAACCCTATTTGGAAACAATACAATAAATAGGGAACATAAGGCTAGGAAAACCTCTTACAATAAAAGCAGAACAAAGCAAGGCAAAACACTACATAAGCAAAGCATTACATAGGCAAAACAGCAGTGGCTATCACCCCTTGGCTGAACGTCACCCTGGCACAGCATGTGCGATGGACACCAACTTTGCTGGATCACGCTTGCATCGATTATCCCGAAGAGCATGCAGCAATCCCCTAAAAACAGTCTTAAAGGAAAAGCAGGACACAGACCGATGGAGGGGGATTCACTTCAGACCAGTTACGGCAGCGACCAGCACAGAACACAACAGCATCTCCCCAGGTGTTATTTATCCATCCATCCATCCATCCATTTTCTTCCACTTATCCGGGGCCGGGTCGCAGGGGCAGCAGTCTAAGCAAAGATGCCCAGACCTCCCTTTCTCCAGACACTTCCTCCAGCTCCTCCGGGGGGATGCCAAGGCGTTCCCAGGCCAGCCAAGAGACATAGTCCCTCCAGCATGTCCTGGGTCTTCCCCAGGGCCTCCTCCCAGTGGGACATCTC